TTATTTAAGTCAGTGTTTCTCAAAGTGTAACTAATAAACTTTCTGAGTGATTCAGATGTTCCTTAAAATTTAGGAAACACAAATTGAAGGTGATTTAAACATCAAAGTTCTCTCACTCTGCTACCGGTGATAGTTAAATATAAGTATGCTGCTTAAAACCACTAACAACGCTAATGTTGTTTGCCTTTCTGTAAAATGCAGAAGTTTGCAAATCAAAGGGTTCTTTCAAAGATTACACAAAATGCATGTAAATGAATGTAAAATACTAAGCATATTCACTAGCATGTAGAAATGCTCAATAAATATTTTTTTTATTATTGGAGACAAACAATTCCAAAAAATTAAACTATCTGTTACTGGCAATTAAGTCACATTTATTCAGCTCAAGGATTGTCAACAAGCAGAATTACAATTTCTGCCTTTGCTAATTAATTGCATTTGTTATTATTACCAGTGATACCACTTTTCACTTTCAGATTCACAGTGCTTTTGCTTTTAGCCAAACCTGAATGCTAAATTAGTTCACTGCATTCATTTACCCTTAGGAATATTTACATCTGTGTTCCCTTGCCAAAGGTGATTTGCCTTGCAAAGTGACTTTGCTCCAGGGGAGGTGTTTTGTAGTTGTAGGAAACTCAGTGGTCATAAGAACTTTTAACTAAATATGGCATGAGGACAGAAGCACCATGCAGTATTCAGAGCACCAATGTAAGTAAATATTTGTAGTCAACCCACCAGAAGGATCCAGTACCATATATTCTTCTCATTGACAGTGATTCTCTACTCCAAAAGTGAGTCTAATTTGTTTGAGAGTATTTTTTTATTGTTTTAGGAAGTAATTTCAAATGACTCATATTTATTATGTGTTCGGTATTTTACATGTGAATTGTGAATGGCAGAATAAACTTTGTAAAACTGCATCCACAAATGATACAAAAGTCTCCTTATTGTCCACAATGTTCCGAATGCAAGATGCAGTCTGTATTGGCCCAGAATCAGCAGGCAAAAACTCTTCTTGAAAAAGCAGTCAATTCAGTTAATCATTGAGCTCATGCTCAAGGATTCTTAAAACTGAACAGTGTGGCTATTTCAAAATTTCACCATGTGATATCAATAGCTTGTGGATATAGAGACACTTTCTTTGTGGAGGGCAGGATGGCAGAAGGAAGAGAAAAGGAGACTGATGAATGGAACTCTGATACTCCAGAACAATGACCTGTGTGTGTTTTCATGTAAGTAAGAGTGTGGGGGAGACAGGAATCAGTTTACCTACCAGCATTAGAAAGGACATGATTTTGAAATTAAAAGACACCAAAATTCCTCAAATATTTCTAAACAAAAGGCTTAAAATAGCTAAGAAAAAAAAATAGGGGTAAAATATACTGTGACTTTAAAAATAATGGTAAAGAATTTTCTTTTCTTTCTCTGAAGGATGCATACATGTGTAATTAGAAAACTATCTATAACCTATATCCTATTTCCAGAAGGGGAAAATTTCTCCCACTTATAGGAAAAAAGTATCTAGATAGATAGATAGATGGTGTATACAGTTTAAAATTTTTTTTTATTTATTCCAACTAAACTAGTTAGTAGTTTAGAATTAATTCAGTCCACAAATTGATCTAAAGAAGAAATACTTATGAACATCTGCCCATATTTCCATAATTTGCTGAGATAATTTAAGCTTCTAATTGAGGAATAAATATCCTCTAAGCAAATACATGCAGCTGTATATAGTCAAAAAATCTTTTTTAAAAAAATTCCTTGAATAATAACTATAAAGATGATCAAGCTGCATTAGTGTTGGACAAATGAAAGAAAAATTAAATAATGCATTTAATCTGATTTTCCAGGCCAGGCGTAGTGGTTCACACCTATAATCCTAGCACTTTGGAAGGTCAAGAAGATTGCCTGAGCCCACAAGTTCGAGACCAGCCTTGGCAACTTGGTGAGACCTCATCTCTACAATAAATCAAAAAGACAACCGGACCTGGTGGCACACATCTGTAGTCCCAGCTACTTGCAAGGCTGAGACGGAAGGATCACCTGAGCCCAGCAGGTAAAGTCTGAGGTGGCCAGGAATATGCCACTGCACTCCAGCCTGGGTGACAGAGTGAGACTGTGACTAAATAAATAAACAAATAAATAAAAATTGATTTTTCTATTAAAGTATCTGATTGCTATAGCATGCTGGAAAGTCTAATTTATTACAATACTATACATCACAATTTTTTAAATAATAAGAGAAGAAAGCATATTTATTAACTGCATTTTTCACTTTAAAGAGTCATGGTTTCAAATTCAAGTGATATTTTATTTAGACACACATTTGTGTATCTATATCACCTATTTCCGACACTCTCTGTTGCTCTTCTCTCTCTCTCTCTCTCTGTCTCTCTCTCTCTTTCTCTCTCTGTCTTACACACATACACACACACACATGCGCGCGCGCGCGCACGCACACGCACGCACGCACACACACACACACACACCTCTCCCTCTCCCTCTAGAGTAAGAGGGCTTAATTCTGAAAACGTATAACCATTTAGAAAGTAGAATTTATTATTTTCAAATCTTAGAATTTCACCTTCATGATGTCACAGTATTCAGTTCAACTGACCTGACATTTTATGCTGTGACTTTCAACCCTCTGGACACATGAAAAAAAGTGGCAACATATTATTTAGACTGAACAGTTAGAGTAGAATTAACTTTTGCTTCAACTTCCAAAATTGCTTGAGAGACTATTTCAAAACTTTTTCATATGCAAACAGATTTTTATTCCTTGAGTGATCTGTTTAGAAGTTTGTAATTTAAAACCTATAAGTAAATAAACCATAACAGAAGAACAATGTGAAGTAACTTTTCCCTCATCCCATAGACATAAAATGACAACAATAATTTTCCCCCATGTTTTACTGTTTATATTTTTCTAGCACACATTGAAATTCACATAAACCTGATCAGATAGAACATGTTATTCCATTGCCTCCTGAAATCACACCACATACCACCAGTGGTAGACCTATTGTAATTTGGAAAAAGTTGACTAGACAGCAGTGATTGTTACACCAGAACTTCTTTATCCCAAGTCCAGTACTCTTTTACCTACAAGCTCTGCGTTCTGAAGGTGGTTTGAAGCTATAATGGAGGCAGTGGAAGCCTGTGGTCCAGGAGTCAGGGAACTGTGACAGTAATATGAGAAAGAGGCTTAAACTAAAGACTGCATGTGTATTCTAGATAGAAGTGGTGCAAATCAGCAAAGCATGCAAGGGCTTAATTAGGTAAAGTCTTTGCCTATTTTGACTGGGCTTTTGTGCCTAAAATCTTTGCTTATTTCCCTGATATGTAAAGCTTAAACAAGCCACCCCAGAGATGCTGGTGTTATTGTGTGCTGTGTCTGCTCACATCTGAATGTTTCTTGTGATGGACAGAGTAATTCCAAAAGCCTTTGGCGCTGTTTTTCCACAGGTCCCCAATGAGGCCTCCTGTGTGTGTGATGGCTCTGTAAGAGGAGGGCTCTTAACTTTTATATCATTAGGGTATTCACAAAACCAGACCCTACAGATTAAAAAGCATTATACTCATTTCTGTCTCTGCCATCAACAATTACCAAATTCTACACAACAGACTCAGAGATCATAAAGGTTACAAAGCTTCAGAAGAAATCAGTCTTAACTGTCATTTCCAAAGAGATCTAAGATCCTGTATATGAACAAAAACAGTACATTTTTTGTGAATAAAGAAGGGAACTTAGCTCCTTACAGCAATGTGTTCTTCTGCTCTTCATGAGTTTATAAGTTTATAAGTTTTGTTCTTAGTGTGACACTTTAAATTTTTAAATACTAAAATAATCTTTTTTTGTGCTCAAATATGTAATAGCTCGCCACCCGCAAACATTTCCAAAATGAAATTATATTCATTTTTGTGAGCTGGGTCATTTTGACAGTGTCTCCTAAGAAAATGAATCCATTCTGTTAAATATTTTTAAAATGTTTAAAAGACAGACCAAATATCAATGTAGGTATTTTTCAAAATAGCATTTTCTTCTTTCCAAAACTCTTTCTTTGTGACTAATAATAATGCTCCTTAGACATGAAGCCACTTTTTAAGTTGTTTCTTTCTCCTTTTCATCAACTTATTCCTTACTTCAGTTATTATGTGTCCCTCCCAACATTTATCAACATCAAAATACCCTCCTGCTTCCTTGTCATATTCATCTGGTCTCTAAGGTCTCCATGACAGTATAGTGTGTGGCAAAATGTAGGTGAGGGCATGTCTACCAGCCCAGTAAGCTTGGGAAAGATTTGACATTTTCTGAAAATGTGGTGGGCAGATGCTGCAAGTTTCAAAGTAGGAGGAAGAGATAAACTAAAATGCCTGAATTTTAGTAATAAGGCAAATAAAAAGTTATTTAGTGAGAGGAAAAAAACAAACCCACCAATTATTTGGGATATAATCATTATTGTCAAAGGAAGAATATTGTTTTATTTATACTCATATATTCCATTCTGTGGTTCTTATAACCTGAAATAAAACAACTGCAACTTTTTATTTATTTTTTAAAGGCCTAATTTCCTAATTCATATGTTTAAGTTTTTAAAAGTTGAAGGTAAGTCATTTGCAACTTAAATCTAAATGACAGACTTCTAAAGCAGTTTACTCCCTCAACCTCTTAATTTTGATTTCAGTATTATACCAATAACACTGTAATAGTAATGTAAATAATATAAGAATAGCAAAAGTAACTCTTTACAACAATCTAGTTCTTAACAGGTTTTTTTAAAAAAATTTTTTTTAAATTCATTTTGATCTACAAATACACCGCTGCTTGAAAAGCGCACGTGACCTGGGTTAAAACACTAAAAAGTTGAGCTATGGAGAAGCAGAAGGCCAGTACATAAAAGCCATGCTAACTGGAAGGCAGGGTTCTGAATCAGGACCTTGGATTCCTTTGCAGTACAAATCCAGAAATTATGCGGTACAACTGAGATTTGTAGATGGCAAAAGCCTGTTCCTTCTCTATTTTTCCATTCGCAGTGTCACTCTGGGGAAATTATGGAGAAGAGAAACATCACCTCAGACTTCATTCTCCTAGGACTCTTTAAGCACACAGGACCCCATCTTTTTCTCTTCACGGTGGTACTAACAATGGCCACCGCTTCTCTCCTAGGTAATGCTCTCATGCTTCTGCTGATTCACCAGGACCGCCGGCTCCACACGCCCATGTACTACCTACTGAGCCAACTCTCCCTCATGGACATGTTATTGGTTTCCACCGTTGTGCCAAAAATGGCCGCTGGCTTTCTGATGGGCAAAAAGTCCATCTCCCCAGCTGCCTGTGGGTTGCAGATTTTTATCTTAGTCACTCTGGGTGGGGGAGAGAGTTTCCTCCTGGCAGCCATGTCCTATGACCGCTATGTAGCCGTGTGCCACCCGCTGCGATACCCTGTCCTCATGAGTTGGCAGTTATGCCTGAGAATGACAGTGTCATCTTGGTTCCTGGGGGCAGTTGATGGGCTTATGCAGTCTGTTGCTACTCTGAACTTCCCATATTGCAGTGCACACGACATTGATCATTTCTTTTGTGAGGCCCCTATGTTGGTGCGTTTGGCCTGTACTGACACTTCAGTCTTTGAAAATATCATGTACATTTGTTGTGTCTTGATGCTCTTTGTCCCCCTTTCCCTTATCCTGGCCTCCTACAGTCTCATCCTCGCTGCTGTTCTCCACATGCGTTCTGTAGAAGCTCGCAGGAAGGCCTTTGCCACCTGCTCTTCACATTTGTCGGTGGTGGGACTTTTTTTCGGAGCTGCAATTTTTACCTACATGAGACCCAAGTCCTACAGGTCAGCTAGCCATGACAAGGTCGTGTCAGCCTTTTACACTATCTTCACCCCTGGACTAAACCCTCTCATCTATAGTCTGAGGAACAGTGAGGTCAAAGGAGCCCTGAGAAAATGGCTGGGTGTGTAAACCTCAACCACCAGTGAAACTAGTTTGACTGCTCAAGATGACTTGAGTCAAATGAGTCAAAGTTCCTCGATTTATTAATATTTCAGGAATATTGTAATTCCCGCTCTTTTAATAATGCATGAAGAGAAAGTTAAGTTCATGCATTAGCATAATAGTTGTTAAGAATTAAGTAAGCCAATTGTATTGAGAGATACCATTTTTTGTGTATTTAATATTTGCTATGTAGTGTATTAAGCAATTTCTATAGATTACTTTGTACCCTCTAGTAACTGTATAAAATAAGTACTATTGACATTATTTCACTTCTAAATGAGAAAATGAAGGCATGGAAAGCTAAATATTGTTACCAGTGTCACACAGTAGGTAAATATTAAAGTTTGACTCCAGAGTTTGTGCCTTATCCTGGGATATTTTATTTCTATCCAGTAATTTATTTGAATGTTGTTTCCTATGTATACGCTCCATAGATTTTTAAGAACTAAACATAGGAACTCCACCAAGGACAAAAAAATATACAAGTGCTGTATTGTCACTAACTTTTTTTGTATTTTTTTCATAGTCTGTTTTTATTTGGTATTTAAAGACAACCTTTTTTAATTTAAGTAATTTTTTATTTTAGTAATATATATCTTTTCCCAGGCTCTAGTTGTAATTGCAGTGACAAATTATAGTACACTATAACTATTTTTTTTGCTTCTTGTAACTGACTGTGTGTATGTTCTTAGGTTAAAATGATGAAGAATTATGCTGATTCTTCACAAAATCAGTAGTGAGAATCAGTTATAAAAGCTGAGTAAGACTCAACAGTTTTTTAAGTTATGTGGTTCATCTCACTTCTGAAAACGTGTAGATAACTAAAAATATTTCTTAGATAAAATATGTAACTCCCCTCTAGGTTCTGTCAGTTTTTATAAAAAATAAGAAATAAGACTATTTGTGCTATTAGATGAAGGCACAAGCTAGCTAGAGATAGCAGAAATCTGCAGTCATCAAAGCCAAACTGTAATCAGAGACTGGATAACAAATTGTCTTAGATAATTTTATGATAAAGCCTAGATTCCATGTAGGTAGAACACACTTCAGAAATAATTTTAGTTTTGAAACATATTGTGGAAAATAACTAAGAGCTTCCAGGACAGTATAGCTTCAATATGAGTGCCTGAGAGTTAACAGACCATTTCAGATCCACCTCAGTTTCAAGAGTGAAGGACATATTTTAGAATGATGAAGAGAATGTCCTGCTTCATCCAGAGCTCCAGGTGCCTCTATACAGCAATATATTTAAGATAGAACCTTAACCAGTACATGTCAATCCTGGGCCCATGTCCAGAGAGAAGGTTTTTCAGTAAACTCTAGTTTCCCAGGAGGAATTGAGGATGAAAAAAGAGCAGTTATCTGTCCAAGACTTAAGAGTTTGCTACCTTTGTTAATCAATCTCCTTGCCCAGTGTTAGAGTGGAAAAAAGAACAAAAATGCTAAAATTCTGTCATTTATTCCATCCCCCCCAAAATCTTCTTCTCTTAGATTAGATGAAATTGACATTGTTAAGTGTCATCATGGAAATTTCGTTACTTGAGCCAGATTTACTCACCATCAGAAAGGTAGATTTTAGAACACTTCAAATTAAATGGTATATGAAGCCTATGACATTTGGTAAGGATAAAATATTTAACAGAACACTTAATAAGCTTAATCTATAGGAAGAAAATCAAACAACAGAACAAGGAGTGAATATTATCTCCAAGCAAATGTAAGACATTAATAAAAATTGACCAAGAACCTATAAAAACAATGAAATGATATTACAGATCAGTTATCTACCACAATGAAATCAAATATGAGATTTTAAAAATTTCAAAATAATTTCAGAAATTATGTGTTTATTTCTTCATTGTTTTGACTGTTTTGGAGAGTTCTTAATCTTAGTTCCTTAATATGGTTTTCTATAGAAAATCTTCAAAATATATTAGCAAATATGTTTTTTTCATGGATATGTATTAAAGAAGTACCTGATAAAGGCAGTTCATACAAGATCATGAATAATAGGAACTAAGTTTGGAATGAAGAGTTACTTTGAATATACAGAGCTCTAACACCTAGAAATGCAGAATCAAATCTAGGCATTGAACCAATCTTGGAATATCACCCACTGTTTCAATCCCTTCTGACTTTCTCCTTTATACTTTCTATAAACTGTACTCTCTTCTACATACAATTTTCAAGTTCTTAAGAAAAACCATGTTTCACTTTAGACCTGAATCCATCCCTTTTCCAGGTGTAATATACTTATGTTAATATAGATTAATTTAATACAGTTAATACAAATTTCAACTGCACAACTTAAAAAATTTTTACCTATGTAACTACCTTTTATGTCTTCCTTGTGCCTCTTCCCAGTCAATACCCTTACAAAGAAATTATTCTAACATATTGGGGGGTGGAGCTGCCTCTCTTTTCTTGCTAATTTGTAAGGAATTCTTTATGCATTCTGGGTATCATTCCTTTGCCCAAGATGTGTACTACAGACATCTCCTAGTACATGGCTTGCATTTTTATTCTTAATGTAGTCTTTTCTTGAGCAGAAAGTTTTAGTTTCATGAAGATAAGTTTACCAATCTTTTATTTCATTGTTTTACTTTTGGTTTTCTTTAAGAAATCTTTGCCTAAACCAAGTCATATTGTATTATGTTAATGCTATAATTCTTTATAAATTATTTTTTGCATGTATGTTGTACGATCATTCCGAATTGACTCAGCACCATTTGTTGAAGAGGCATCAGTGCCAGACTAAGTATTTTATTAATTAGGTATCTGTGTGGGGCAATTAACAGGCATGCTATATTTTTCATTTTGAATATATTTCTATTTTTAAACATTCCACATTAATTCCTATAGCCTTACAAAAAATTTTTGATATTAAGTATAAAAGGCATCCTCTATTTTTTTTTTCCTTAGTTTTCAAGTTTTCTTGTTTTGGGTACTTTACATTTCTGTGGAAATCTTAGAATTTGCTTACAATATCACGTGCAAAAACTGCTGAGATTTTTAATAGAAAATGCGATAAATTTTTGGCTCAGTTTATGAAGTCACACTTTAAAGATTTCTGATTTGTTTTTCTTGCTTTTTAGTTACAATTTTTTGCATCAGATTTTGTTGTTGTTGTTTTGTATGTTTAAGTTCTGGGACACACGAAAAAGTAATACATAGAGTTCCTTCATACCCTTCATCCAGCTTTTCCCAGTGTTACTATGTTACATAACTGAGGTACATTATCAAACATAGGAAATTCATTTAGGTAATACACCATTAACTCATTTCTCTAGGATAAATATCTGGAATCATTGGGTTGTAAAATGAATTATTGCAATCATTGGGATGAATAATAAATGTATATCTAACTGCATAAAACACTACCCATTGTTTTTCAGAATATTTGTACCATTTTTCATTCCCAAAAGCAACTTTTTTGCATCTTCTTCAATATTTAGTATTATTAATATTTTTATTCTAATGAGTATATAGTTATGTTTTATCACAGATATAACTAACATTTTTAAAAGATACTGAAAATCATTTTAGGTGTTTTTTGCTTAAATAGGTGTTTATCCTATTTGGTGAAATGTCTTTTAGTGTCATTTGTCTCTTTTTGTTTTTCTGCTGCATTTTAGTGTTCTTTATACATTTTAGAAAATAGTCTTTTGTCATATTTGTGATTTGTGATTTGCATTCACATACTTTCTTCATAAATTGTCTGTCCAACTCTTTTGCTCATATTCTGATTGGATTTAGTTTTTATTTATTGTTGTATTTAGAGAGTATAAATATTTTTTATTTACAAGTCCTTTGGTAGAGATGTGATTTGCAAACATTTTCTCCCAATCCTTCTTTCACAGAACTAAAGTTTTTAATTTTCATAAAATTCAATTTTGACTTTTTTCTTAACGGACCATATCTTTGATGTCATGTCAAAGAATTCTTTGCCCAACCCCAAGTTACAAAGATTTCTTCTAAAATCTTCATAATTTTACTTCTGATCATCTTTTGACATTTAACTTTGGTTTTTTATTTCAATTTTTATTCTGGTGAAGGCCTTGGCTGTGTCCCTCCCTTAAACTCTATAAACCTGTAAATTAGTGAGAAAATAATATATAAATAACCTCTCTTTATGATAATTATTCATAAGATATAGGGATTATGGCTCTTATTGTTGAAATAATTGAATCACTTAATCTTGGTACATATAAATCTATTTATATGTGAAAACATTAGCACAATCATTCCAAAATTATCAGTTATTTTCTTAGGCAGCTCTTATTGAAAGACATGAAAACTGTACATTCAACCCTTAAACAAAGTGGAGATTAAGACTGCGGACTCCCATGCAGTCCAAAATCCATGTAAAACTTTTTTTTTTTTTTTGAGTTGGAGTCTCACTCCGTCGGCCAGACTAGAGTGCAGTGGCTGCTCCCGGCCACCGGAGCCTCGCCCTGCTGGGCTCTGGCAATCCTTCCGCCTCAGCCACGCCTGGCTAACTTTTGATTTATCATAGAGATGAGGTCTCGCCAAGTTGCCCAGGAGGGTCTTGAACCCGCGGGCTCAGGCAATCCACTCACCTCAGCCTCCCAAAGGCGCGGGATTACAGGCTGAGCCACCGAGCCAGGCCATGTAAAACGTTTGACTCCCTCAAAATGTAACAAAATATATCCTATGGTTGACTGGAAGACTTGCCATTCAATTAACACATATTTTGAATGTTATATTGACTATATACTGTATTCTTCCAATAAAGTAAGCTGAAGAAAATAAAATGTTATCAAGAAATGATCAGTAAACCCCCACTTTGAGATGTCCTGCCTTTTTGAGCCAAACCAATGTATATCTTGCTCATACTGATTTATGATTTTGTCTGCGATTTTATGTCTCCCTGAAATGTATAAGACCAAACTATAACTCAATGGCATAGGCACAATTACTCAGTGTTAGGGTACGGACAGACCGGG